AGCCATGAATTTCCTCTCTTCAGCCTTGATTTATGCTAGGTTTACTCTAATTTGTGCTTTTGGTTCTCCAATTTCGGTAGATTTTCCCTTGCACTGCAAAATCCTGGATCTACTCTGCTCTGCTCCTCACCGTCGGCTGCTCTTGTGTGGGTGTGATTTTCGATCTTTTTGGTAAAAATCAGCCATGAATTTCCTCTCTTCAGCCTTGATTTATGCTAGGTTTACTCTAATTTGTGCTTTTGGTTCTCCAATTTCGGTAGATTTTCCCTTGCACTACCGCCGGCTTCCCCTAGCTTGCAGCTTCGGTTTTTGCTTGCTAAATTCTGGTATGATGGCCACTTCTCTAAGTCCTAAATTACCCACTTAATTGCTGCCTTGTTGAGTTTAAATGCTTGAGTTGCTACCCTTGTGTTGTCCGAAAATTCTGTTGAAATAGGGATAAATTCCGGCAGCCTTTGAACATGTTTTAAGTTTAATTCAGGTAGGAATTGGTTTAATTAGGCTGCTGTGATGTTTTGGAGAGAAAAATCCCGTGTGTGTGAGTTGTGCTTGCCAAAGCCATGCTCTCCATGTGCTGCCCGTGAGAAATGGGGAAATTTCGGCAGCATTAAGTTATGTTTTAAGCTTGGTTTAGGTAGAGAAATTAGCTTGATTTACTGCTGTGAGGTTTTATATGAAAATCCCGTGAATTAGCTATTGTTTTGCAAATTTTGGAAGTTGCAGTTACTGTTCACTGGTACTGTTCACGGGCATTGTTCACGCACTGATGACCAACAATTAATGAGGATTTAAATGTTTAGTTTGTAATATAAGAACAATTTGGAGATGTCCGATCATGTGAAAACTAATAGAAATAGCATCATGATTAGGGTAGTCCCAATGATGATTTCGCTTTGAATTTGTGGTAGTGCGGTATTAATTTTGGAATATTTTGGCTAGGTTCTGGATTATTCTACCAACCTAGCACTTGGGTTAAGCCTTCCGTTCTGTCCGATTTGAGGTAAGTAAATTATAGTAACGCCATTCGATTTTAAAAGTATATTTTAACTTGTTTTTGAAGTAATGGCGGGATTAAACCCGTTTTATACAAAAATAAGCATGATTGATTTGAAATAAGATTATTATTTTTTTTATTGATTTGAGCATGCCTATTTGGAGTTTACTTAACTGCTCTGATGAACTGAGAATTTTGTAAATTCTAATTTTTCTGTTAAATCCATGCCCACATGGAAATTTTCCAGTTTATTTCTGAAATTTGAGATTGATTGTGAATTATGATTTTCTTGTTAACTTCAGCCTGTTTTCTCTCCGATATGGTCATGTCTTACTGTGCCCACTAGTGGGAGGTTTATAAACGCTAGCACATGTCGACATATTTACTGATAGGACCGGTTCATTCTAAAATCCTACCAATAGGATAAAACATTGGTTACTACTATGCCCGTCAATGGGAGGTTTATAAACACTGGCCATGACCTATAGATGAGACTACTACTGAATTTTCTTCTGCATTAACGGTTTGTCATTGAACGCTTGTTTATTGAAGTGAATCTGATTTTGCATTAATGGTTTATCATTGAACATTTTGTTATGTTAAACTGTTTATCAAGCATGCTAAAATTTTACTCACGGGCTATCCATATTTACTTACTGAGTTATCTCATAGTTTTTTCTTGTTCATCATTTTAGGAAGCGAAATCAAGGATAGGGAAAAACAAGGGGAGTGACGAGTTATGAGGCTAGCCATCTTGTAAATTGAACATGGATTTTAGATAGAGATCATGATCTTGTAAGCTAGATTTTAATTGGAGATTTTATAAATTCATTTAATGGATTGTTTTATTTATTTATTTATTTAATGGATTGTTAGTTTACAAGAGATTTGACTTTGAGATTTTGAGATTAAGTCATGTTGGACATAGAATTATTTTGAAATATTTGATTTAAGTTATTGGATTGTCAGATGTGAATTGTATAAGTTTCGAGCTTTGTGCATTTGTGGGACCTTTTCACGAGTGTACGACGTTTGCCACGTCCCTGGATTTGGGTTTTGGGGCGTAACACAATCAGAAGAGAAATAATTAAAATTAAGAGATAATTATAGGTTTAAAACAAAAAAAAAAAACTATTTATCTTCTTTAAAATAAAAAAATGACTATTATTTTGAGATAAATTTTAAGTAAAAAAATATCAATTATTTTGAGATAAAGAGAGTATACTAATTTTTTTTGTTAAAACATATCTATTAATAAGTATAAAATAAAATTTTAAAATAAAATAAAATAAAATGATTACAAAACTTAAAAGTTGAAACTTAATATAACAATATATTATTCATATAAAATGAGATAGTATTATTTTTAATCTTTAGCAAGAAGTTAATAGTTCCTTTGGTAGTCCCTTTATCTTCGAGCTTTCAAATTCCAATGATAAAACCAGTGTTGCAAACTTGCAATTACTTGTGTCAAGATCGCCAACAGAGTCTATTTTTTTTATTTTTTTTTTATTTTTGAAGTTGTTGGGTTGAAGTTGAAGGAGATTGGCATTAGGGGACTAGGACAATGGGTTGGACAGTCATGTACCTTGAGATGGATATGGTTTAAATAATAATAAATAGTTAAATTGTTAAAATGAACAATAAATTATATAAATTATATTTGAACTCCTAAAATAACTTATTATTATTGCATCTTTTTTTATTTTATGTATTTTAATAATTAAAAATATAATGTTTATAGTTTTAATAATAATAATCAATAAATTAAAATTTTTTTTTCTCAAATACAGGGGGGGCACCGTCCCCCCTGCGCTATATGTGGCTCCGCCACTGCTCATGCAGTGTGTCCTGTCACTCCTTGGAAAAATAAGAAGTAAAAAGGTCCTTGGTGCAGGGCGACAAATGAAAATATTAACGTCGTCGGGGGAGTGGTCTGTCATTTAACCAAAAATGGGTCTCGGCGAGGACGTGTGTTCTGTCATTTGACAAAAAGATGGGAATCGTGGCGACAAAGGAAAATATTAACGTCGTCGGGGGTGTCTTTCGTCATTTCGAAGAAGAAAAAGACGGGCAAAATCTCTTCCAAAAAAGACGGGGAAAAACCTAGTTTTAGTCGTTTATAATTTTATATTATTAAATTCATAGGTTTTAATTTTTTATTTTATATTATAATATTTTTAATTATTTATTTATTAAAATTAAATAAAACAATTTTTGTTTATAATATTTTATTAATTTTATTAATTAATTATTAATTGATAAAAATTTACTTTAAATTAATAAAATTAATAATTAATTAATAAAATTAATAATTAATTAACAAAATTAATGAAATATTATAAATTGAGAGTTATTTTTTTTAATTTTAATATGTGAGGGGTAATTTATAACTTGAATAAAGTAAGGGATTAAAAATAAGTTTTTTATATAGCTGATGAGAAAAATGAAAATATTCTTCTTCTAAAAACAGAAAAAACAAAAAACAAAAAAAAAAAATGAAAATATTCAGTGGTCCGTGTGACGTCGCCATCCCTTCCCTAAACCAATAGGAACTTAACAAATCATTAAAGCTTATTAATCCCCTTAAGCATAATCTGCATTCAACGGCTGATGATCGCAGAATTTATGACAACGTCTTGGATATATAGCACTGGAAAACTCACAACATTATTGACGATGATGTGATGAGAAAAACTTGTATTGTGGTGGAAACTGAAACCTCAGGCTCAATGAAAGAAAAGAGAGTTTCCGCTCTGCAAGGTTCATCAAGCTATTAATCGAGAATGGCAAGGTTTGTGAAAGAATTAACGAGAACAGACGTTGGTTCAATGTTGGTAGTCCCAGCTCCTTTCATGAACAACATGCCACAGGTTGAAGGAGGACACTCCATAAATATAACGGTGCCAGATGCAGGTGGCAGAGAATGGACTTTCGGATACTACGTCCGAGCGAACCAAAACCCGCGCCCTGTTCTGAAATCAGGGTGGTGCCACTATGTCCGTGAGAAAGGACTGAGAGTTGGTGACAGAATCATATATGAGCGTCTGGAAGGCTTCCCGGTGCGTTACAGGATTGGAGCAAGAAGAAGAGTAACTCTGCTTGGTCAGGAGGTATGGACTGACGAATTCTAATTAAGTCCGCCATGCTATATGTATGATGTTTTGAAGCAAAACTCGTATGCTTTCTAGTTTTATGTATTGTTGGGTGTTTTCCTCTTCCATGTCTTGTTGGTGTTTTCCTTTTCCTTTTCCATGGGTGTTTTCCGTTTCTAGTTTTATGTGTGATGGACACCATGTTATATGTATGATGTTTTATGTATTCTAGGTGTTCTACCTTCATGATTTTCGACTTTGAATTGTTTGAGAAACTTACTGTCATTGAGTTTGAGTCTAATTTGGATGTAAGAGTACTTTCTGTTTTCATCATTCGCTCAAGAACAGCCATAATTGTACATGGAAGAAAAGAGAAATGGATCTAGTTTTTTTCTTCATCTTCTCATGGACTCCAATCAACTCAAAAAATTAGGAAACTTGGTCAGACGTGCCCAGGAGCACCCCTTGAAATTTTAAAAATCCGTTTTCCTGATTCGCTTAGTGTGATTCATTGCAAAAAAAAAAAAAAAATACTGCTTATGTTCTAAATCTGGAAAACAGAACCAGTGCTGCGCAGAAGAAACATGGGGAAGAAGACAGGGGCATGTTTGTAAATATGACCGGGAAAGATTAAAAAGGGGCCTAACTTTAATTTTGGGCTTTTACTCAAGTCTATAAGCTGCCTCTCTCCTACTTGACCCAATTGAGGCAGGCTACGAGAATGGTTTTTTTGGGGAGGCCACCCAATACCCCGATTGGATGATATAGTGACCAATTCGTCCATCAACACTAAAAAAGAAATATGATTTTTTATTCTTTTCTTCCTTTTATTCTTTTCCCCAAAGCAAACCTAAACCTAACAAATTTTGAAATCACAAAGTAACAACACAATTCCCTATCAGCTATACACAAGGTCAGCTATGGTGCAACTCTGTATGATCCTCATTAAAACTTAATAACCATAAGCCGTGAATTAATTTAGAGAAATTAGCATTGTGAGATATAGTATGTATTTTGTGAAGTTAATTCTTTTGCAGATATTATGGCCTTAAAACTCTACCACTAAGGTAAGGGTTGTCATTTCTTTAATGATCCACCACCAAAGGTAAAAAAAAGAATGATAGACTTATCTATACATGACTGTACTGCCGCCACACACAAAATATATATATATATATATATATATATATGACAACACAAAAAGGCTTTATTGCCGCAGGAAGCAAGTCCCAGTATTGCCCTATAGTGGTGAAGGCTGAAGGGAATTAGATCACCGAAAAACCACTAATAATCGGTCTCTTTTTGGAGCAGGTCTACGTTTTTCTTTTTTCTTTTTAATTTGTAGCTGTTTATGCTTGATGATTTGACTATTTAATGTTTATGTTTGTGCTAGATTAATTTGTAAAAAAATTGTGATGAAAGTGACGTACAAATCTATTATTGTAGCATCAATTTTAAATCCAGATCCTCAACGTTGTACATAAATTTTAATTTTAACCTTCTAAGATTTGGTGGATAATTTTATGCTTAATTTATTTCAAATTTTAAGTGGTGCGTTCCTGGGAAAATATAGAGATAACAAATTGAATTTTACATAGCATTATGTCTCATTTGTCCTTGAAAATGAGTTTTTGATTCCTAGGGATGCCTGGGAGTAAGTATTACACACCTAGCTGGAATGGAGTTTTTTGAATTGTTAATGAAATTCTTGCCTATTCTTAAAAAATTTACTAATTAGAAAATATGGGAAGCTAAACATAAATTGGCAAGATAAAAAAAAAAAGAAAAGGGTAAGTAGTTTGGGCAACAAGCCCATAATTAACCAGCGCATTTCAAATAAATTCCAATGGCTGGAGCGTGTGGGAGGTACGTTAACGTATGCTGTCTCTGTTAGTGTACACTGTACATTGTTGCACAGTGCCTCTATTTTCTTGTTTTCTGGTGCCCCAATTCTTCCAGCAAACGACGTCCTTTATATGATAAGGTGGGACTACGCCATCACCTCTGACGCTACGGTAAATTACCGAAGAAAAGTCGACCGGAGAAAGAGTAACTGCAGTACTATAATTACAATATTATATAAAAATATAAAATTATAATTATATATATAATATTAAATAAATATAATATTATAAATATATTTTTAATTAAAAATTAATTACATAATAATATATTATATTATAAATGTGTAATATTACACGATATTATGATTATAATTTTTTTTTTCATGAAAGGAAGACGCAGGAGGTTTGCCTCACTAGTTTTTAAATGTTTCATGGTCCCACAATAAAAAATTTTGGAGCTTGGTGTTTCAGCCTACGTCGCACAGGGACTTCGATGAAATTATGCCCTTTCCTAATTTCATTTTATTTATGGTAGCGGATGCCGTATGGGATGGGAGTCCATAAGGTTAAGTCAAATTTTGACCCTCTGCAGGGTGCAAACTGAAACCTGAGTTTCCACCTTGCAAGGCTCATCAAGCAATTAATTCCATGTGAATCGGTTTTTAGGTTCAATGATTTGACCTCAAATCTTAAGTATTTAAGTGAGGTGGTTGGAGTTTCGAGCTCCACCACCATCATGAACTCCATCAAAAAGTGACTTAATGACCGCGCACCTCATTTGAGGAGGTGGAATGTTCACCCGATTTGAGAATCAGTTGCTAACAACTAATTCATACTAATTTCCTAATCATTACTTTTGTACAAAAAAATAAAACAATTAATCTCATAAGTAGTTGTTACTGAATAGATTCATTTGATTAAAACAATTTTAGTTGTCATTTATATCATAATATGTTAAAATTTTTTCTAAAATTAACTTTCAAAAAATAAACAATTCAAACTAAATCTATTAATATTCTGTTTGGTGTTGACATAATTACAAGTGAATAGTGAGTTTAAAGTGAAAAGTAAAAATTAAATGAATTATATATGTGGAAATTTATGAATTTAATAAGTTAATTTTTTGAGTTTAAAAATATGTTTTTACATATTAAATCCTTAGTTGAATGTTCCGCCTACAATATGAGTAGTGCCATGGACTCCCAACACGTTAAGAGTGTAAGTCTTTTATGATTGTTGGAGGAAAAGGAAATGCTGTGTTTTTCTCTTCTTCATTTGGAATTTGTTTTTTGGACCACTCTTCATTTGGAATTCAGTCACAGGAAGAAGAGCGAGCCCAGAGTCAAATTAATTACTGAAGCTAGAGTTGGAGAAAAGAGAAATTAGTACCCATTTGGTGTGGTTGGAGCTTCTAATAGAAATCCTGTTAAAAAAAATTGTTGTAGAAGTGTTGTTTTTATAAATAAAAAAATAAAATAAAATAAGAATAATATGTTAATTTTATTAAAATTTAAATGAAAACTCTTGTAGAAGCACTAATTCGGTGCTTGTGATATTTGCAATGAAAAGAACAAAAGACTAACTTATGAGAAGTTATAGCATTTTTCATAAATTGTAATGTTTGGTGCAACTAGAGTTTTTGAAATTTAAAAAGATTTTTCACCAACTCTATCAAATATAGAGTATGTTTGGTTTAGCTTTTAAGTACTTCAACTTTTTGATACTATTCATATTTTATAAGTTTAAATTTTCTTCTTAAAAATTTACATTTAAAATTTTTTTTTAACCTTAAAAAGACTTTAAACAGTAAAAGTTCAAAAGTTTTAAATCTAAGTTTTTGATAAATGATGAGCTAAATTTATATACATATTAATAGGGAATTTTTATTTTGATATTATTGATATTTGGATGAGTTTTATGAGATTTTGTTTGATTTTATATGGTTTTTATTCTTTGTGTAGGAAATGATTTAATTGGAAGAAATCTTACTTTTTAGAAGTAAATTGAAGATATAAGAGACTTGAGGATCAATTTGTGCAGAATCCAGAAGTTAGGAACCAAATCTGCTATTTTACCATTGAAGAAATTGCAAAAGAAGGCCAAAAACCCGACACGGGTGTAGTGTCGACACCATGCATTAAACGTCCAGAATCAGATTTTGTTTCTTATTTTGTGTCAACACGTATTTGGAAGTATCTGTACCACGCGATCAGCATCCAAAATTCATTTTCTTATTTTTGTTTCAAGCCCTACTTTTATTTCAATTAAGGTTTCTAAAATCTTATAAATACCCATCTAAATTTAGAATTGAGAGAGTTTTGAGAGGCTAGTGGCAGCCCTCTTTCAGGCATTATTGGAGATCAAGATTGAGGTTTTCAATTTCCTTAAATTAGGTTTTGTTTTTCCTTAAGTTTTTATTTATTGTTTGATATTTAAACGTTTATAACTTTAATTTCATATTTTATTATTTTTATTATAAACTGATTTATTTTACTAGGGTTACGATATAACCTAATCAATTCAATATGGATTTAGTGATTTCATGCTTTCAATTAAAGTTATTTGCATGAGGAGTTTATATTATTGAACTTAATGCATTGGAAGTCTGATCACCTTTCAATTGATTTAGTGATTTATGCATGAATTTGAGAAAGAATTACGTAGATTAGACCAATAATAATATAAACCGTGTGCTAGACTATGAGATCGAGAGATAATTAACTCACATGTGGTAGTGGAGGAAGAGAAGAGAGTTAGGAGCTCCCCCTTCTTAAGTTAGAGGTTTTCATAGAATTTAATACTTATAAGTTTGTTTAAAATTACATAAAAATATGATTAATTTAACAAACAAGTGAAAGATTAACTTGACTTAAGAAAGCTAATTACTTAATTTAGGAAAATCCGCCATCACATGCAACAACATTCAACAATTTGGTAATTCATAATTTATATTGATTGATTATGGTGAAATTAATGCCTTAATACCTCATATCTTGGATAGGTTTAATTTAATTGTTATTTTCCTTTTATTATTTTTTTTAGTTAAACTTTCTTCCCATTTTGTTGTTTAAATAAATTTGGATTAATTATTTTGGTATTTAGTTAAACACAATTCTCGTGGATTCGACATTCTTCTAATCATTATATTACTTGAAGCGACACTCTTCTAATCATTATATTACTTGAAGCGACTAGTACACTTATTAAGGTGATTTTAGTACATCAATAAACTCCTTTTTTATTCACTTTTTTTTATTTTTAAAAATAATTTTTAAATTTTTTATCCAATAAAAATTTAAATTTA